ACTTAATATTATATTATTAAAAATAATTAAACAATGTAATATTAAATAGTATTTAAAGAAAATTAGATAAGTACATATTGCATTTTTATTTAAACATTTATATAGGAAATACAATACATTTACACTTATTTTTTCACAAAAACATATTATTGTACATTAACACTATTTTTGGTGATGTAGCTTAGAAGACCGTACTTTGTTTTACAAAATATATTTGAGCTTATAAGAAAACAATTATAAAAGTTTTTAAATCATAAAACAAAATATGGTCTACTAGTTATGAACTAGGTCAAAGAATACATATAGAGTAAGGTAAATTTTAATAAAATATAAAATTGGGTGTGTAACATGAAATAGTAATGATTTGAAACTCAATTTATAATTAATACAATGGTAAGTATGATACATATTTTATAAACCTATAGAGATACACATTAGTGGCTTAAAAATAAGTATGGTTGACAATTCTGCAGGTATTAACTCCCGTATATTTTGTACAATTGTATAGTAGTGTTCTTTAGAAACAAATATCTAAACCATACTGTTCAATAAAATACATATCAGTAATACTACACAGTAGACAGTGTAAGTAAACACAAATATTAATTTTTTTAGCTAGGAAAACCATAAAATAAATAGTTTGTGCTATTACTGAACCAAGGGAAGAATGCATATAGAATAGGGACAATAATACATAAAAGTGTAGGTATAACATGAAATTGTAATAATTTGAAATTTAATTTATTATTACTGTAAAGTTGTGTACATTTTTTTATAAGCTTAAATTATAAACAGATACTTATTAGTGGTTTAAAAAAAGTAGAGTTAACAATACTATACATACATTTAATATAAATGTATAGTACCCTTAAAAACAAATAAATACCTATGATGTTATATTAGATACACAAGAGTTAACACAATACAAGAGGGACACTTTATAAAAAAATTGTTGTAATTTGAAACTTTTAATGTATTGAAATAAAAATTAAATTGGACTGTAACTGGTGTTGAAATTGACCTATGAAATGAGAAAAAAAATGTTCATAAAGCCTAAATAATTTCCAACAGTAAAAACGATATTCATACTATAGTAGATTTCAGCAAAAGTGGTCCTCAACAGTGACACAACTAGTGACGCTATTTCAGAAAAACAGTGGTTCTCTACATTGGCAGGTAGAGAGCTGGTTATTAATGAGTAATTAATTAAAATTGTCTACGCTTTGTTCGGCACATGTTTAGTAGTCATTGCGTAAAAACATATACCAGTCGCGCTAAAGTCGAGGGCAACTTTTGCTGAAAACTACTTATTTATTTATTTATTACAAATACGAGGGTTTCCCCTATAATTAAAGTACAGTACAAATTATTAGAATAAAAGTAGAAAATTGAGAAATATTAATATTATATGTAAATAACCGAAGTACAATTATATTTAACAGTAATTAAGTAAACAATTAAAACGCTTATATTAAACTTAAGAGTTTATTAATAGTGCTTAAGAAACATTAGAACAAATTATCATCAAAGGGGTCCTCATTGGCAAGTGACATAATCCACCTCAAAGGCTCATTTTACAGATAATTTGTGTTGGCGGTAGGAACATGGAAGGTCACATGAGAACAAGATACATGCGAAGGGACATTGTCACATTGAAGTTAACTTGGGATAGCAAGCAAGGGAAATCAATATAGTTAGTAATTAAATCACAAATAAGTTTTACATTTAAAGTTCTTCTTCTTTCAGCAAGAGTAGGCAGGCCAAGTACGTTAGCGATATTGGTATAATTGTGAGCTAAATGGGGAATGCCTAACACAAAACAACAAAATCTTAAAAATCTGTGTTGAACACGTTCGAGTTGATTGATATCAGAAACAGTGTACGGATCCCAGACAACAGACCTGTACTCTAAAATAGGACAAACTAAAGCACAATATAATGGTTTTAATGATTTTGACAATTTAAAGTCTTTAGATAGAGGCATAATGAACACTAAAACTTTAAATGCTCTACTAGTAATCATTGCAATATGAGGATTTGGGCCAAGAGTACTATAGTACTTTTCATCTTTTATTTGTCCACGGCATTCATAAATTTATCAATTACCAATTCACATGCTGTGATGATGTCATTTAATCTAAGGTCAATCTTATTTTTGGACAAATTAGCTATAGTTTTGATTTAAAAAATTGCAGGTTCTCCATCTACAAACAGAATTTAAATTTATTTACCATTCTATACCTATAACTAGTAGTTTTTGTGCTGGAAAATTACCATGAATTGAAGATACAATGTTCTATATTTTATTTTAAACAAAATGCTTGAGTTCCATAATAATTTTTAAATTCTTCAATTGTGAAGATTTTAAAAGTGAATATAAGGCAGTAGAACCATAGGCTTTATATTAGTATAAGGTGAAGCCATGAAGATCTATGAAGTTGAACGTTCATATTGGTGCTACCATTTGAATTATATCTGCATTGATGTATTCCATTCTTAACACTAACAAGTACAAGTTAAATTAGCAATGCCAACACTAGTTCCTCCCTCGATTCTCGATAACAAGGAAAAAAAAATTTTGAATTATAAAATATTTATAGTACAAATTAAGGAAATTGCATACGTACAATTTTTTTTGGGTTTAAGACATGTGGATCTTTTAAAAGTGTACGCATTACTGTCTAGTAAGTGATCATTACATTAATACATTTATATCACTCCTGTATTATTATTAATTTTAAATAATACGCATGCTAAGACATTATTGTCCATATTTGTATACTATACGTCATATGTATTTGCATTACCCTTCACAGGTACTTTATTATAAAATAAGTTGATAAAACTAGGGTGTAATTGAAGTCTAAAAATATAGTGGAGCGCTCACATATGCAAGTACTTATCACCAATGCGGTGACGCTCGAGTGAACGCTAAAGAATGTAGCTATCATTTGTATGTACTTTTTGTCGATGACGATCCTTCTAATGAACTTGATAATTCTATACAAGTACTGAAAACTGATATGAATTTCATTATGACCAGGCCACATTTTAAGATTTTTAATTTCAATTTTGAATTATCAACATTTTATATATTCAAACTAAATGTATAGAAATTAGGAAACTAAATTTGGAAGATTGACCTTATCAATACCAAGTAGACATAATAACAAATTCATATCAGTTTGCAAAAGTACATTGGTATTTCAAGGTCCATCGATATGATTGACAAAATGTCAGTACATTTCGGTTAAAAAATAAAATAACTGACCATTTGCAATATCCTTGAATATATTTACAAGAAACCGGAATACATTACCCTGCTCATTTTAATCTTCGACATCGCTATAGTCTTTCAGTTTTTGATTTTTATTTGAGATACACCTTTGGATACAGCCGTACAGTGCTAGCCATGTAGGTACTGCATGACGGTTTTTGGTTCTGGAAAAACTATTATTAAGTAAACATGTTAGTCTATTACAAAACATCAACATAATTAATAATTATTAATGGATAACTGTAGTGTGGGTACTTATAGGTCAAAAGCGTCATACGTCAACCTTAATAGTTGCGTGTGTAGTACTATCGTACCGATAACAATACCGATAAACGAAAACGTCGGTAGATGTCATTTGAACGTGCCCAACTAAGAAACCGACAAGGTGACAAAAAAAAAATACAGAATTTTAGAGTTGCCGTGATCACGAAGAGGGACGGACGAGCAGCCTGCTGCTGTGGATATTCCGTGATGGTGATATTACTCAACTATTCGAAATGTACTCTCGCCGATCCTCCACCACCCTCGGACCGTGAACTCAAATGGCGCGAGGAGTGTCGGGCTGGCCGAGCCGGGTGTGCCGAAATGGTGTCGTGTTAGCCGTTAGGGGCCTGTCGATACGAAGTTGGAACAAGTTTAGGGCATGCTATTTTTCGTTGTACTCATGGCTAAATAAAATATAGGTTGTAATTGCTACAAAATAACAACAAAGTTATCAGTAACACGATAAGAAAAAAACGTTACCGATGAAAAGCGGTTCGTAATAAATGATAACCTACTTGAATAATGGTTGTAGGTTGTTCGTCACGAATTTGTGATCGTGCTGGTAAGTGCCATAATACCATTGATTAATGCTTATTGTTTTATTGATGTTTCCTTTCTGACAACTCCTCACACATAACGATATTTAACTTAAAGACGAAATCGACGAACTCAAGTGTAGGTATTCTTTAAAAACAAATGTCTTCTTTTTTAAATAATAGTGGAATTGTTTCAGCTAAATACCTCAATTGATTACAATTTAGAAGCTTTTAGTCGCTAGCTATATGAAAATTACATTTTGGTAAAAATGAGTGATATTTATTATTTGGAGAGAATATTTGCGTTACTACAACTATATAATATTATATTTTTATATGTTTTACAGCTTTGTGAAATGTCGAAATTGGCCTTGCTAAAAGCTCACAGGACCGAGATAAAACTGAAATGACTCCCCTGGACATAATTATTAATTAATGCATTATGACTATTTTGATCTGGATGCCAAATGCCGATAATTTTTGTTCAAACAGCCTAAATCAAAACCAAGTAACTTTGGTTTATTATCATGCATTTCCATGTTGTTCTGGCTTCTGGATTAAACAAGTAGCTTTTACCGATTTGTATTGATGATGTAACTGTCTTATTGATCGACACAAAAACTAGAACTAATGTATTTAACATTGTGCTCATCCCAAATAATTTATTTATTATTCATTTACAGAGTTAACGTATATCCGAAAATATTTATATGGTCCAATTCAAGATGCTGAGAAAACATTTAGAAAGAAAAAACAGTCAACTTCTCACAATCACTCACAAATTAAGAACACATAGGTACTTCATTCGTATATCTCCAACTATGATTAGATAGGTAATTTAATCCTAGACAATACTTAAAAGTATATTTAACATATTTTTATACAATCACTTCGGTTGAACATATCCATGTATGCCTCTGGAAATTTCTATCTATGTTCAACATACATGCTTCGTTAAACGGATCAAATCCTGAAAGCTAAGTAGATTCATTGTCTTAACTGTTATTTAATGGTTTAATAATTATGACTCGTATATTAGTTATGCTCAGACAATACATGAAAATGTATTAGATTTAATTCCTTGAACGGTTGTATAATCAAATAAAATACAACTTATAAAAAAAAACCATTGACTGAATAATTTAAGCAAATTTTAATTTTATCTTGAAATTGATTTCCTAATTTTGCTTCATCTCGTAATTTTTGGTATGTTATTAAAATAATACCTGTTATATAAACTATAAATCGTAGAGTTAAAATGTTCATATAATGTTTTTCTTTTTAAATATTAATCAAAATAGTAGCATCAATAAAAATCAACAGTTATTGATACAACATTTTTTTACAATTTATTTAAGAAATGTTTCTTTATAACTAAGTAAAACAAAATATTTCTTTTTTCCACTATTATTATTTAATAACCATTGAAACAATGCAAATTAAGCCATTGGTCCTAAATTAAAACCTTGTAATTTAACCTCTACTCATTTGCATTGTCAACAAAGTAATATTGAAGAAGTCTCTCTGCTATATAGTAGAATGTAGAATTCTCTTGATAATAAGACAAAAGTGGAATTTATTTAAAAAGAATAATTTTTGTTTTCTTTTTAAGTTATTTATTGTTATAATTTGACTTCACAAGAAATAATTGGTTAGGATTTTAAAATAGTTTGTACATCTAATTTTCTTTTTGTCAGGTCCTATCATAAAAATAACAACTGTATTAATAATTAAAAGTAAAATAAAATACAGATAAATGTTTAAATAATAAAATTAAAACAATTTGGTGCGTCCAATAAAATTACATTTTTTGGTAACATTCTTTATATTGTGTTCATCGACTAATTAATAAAGATGATGAGTGATTAATGATTAACAACTTTCAAATCTGTTTGATTTAAACAATAAATAAACAATATGATTGTATTATTATCAGTATTAGATTGTATTAAATTATATTTTACTGTTTCAGTTGAAGTTGTGGGTGCTCCAGAAATTCAGGTTGTAGAAGAATTAATACAAAGTAAAAAATTAGAATAAACAAAAATAATTTGAAAAAAATGATTTTTAGGTATGTAATATTACAGTATTTGTCATAATTACGAGTTATAATTTTTTACTTTAAATTGTTCTTTGCTTATTGTTTTTAAAAATGTTGATGTAATAAATTCAAAATTTAAATTAGTGCAAGTTTCTCTGTTATTAAAATGTTTATATTAGTTATAATAATCCTTAAAAATGATCTTACAAATATATAAAATATAATATGTAATATTTTATCTAGTATTTATTATGCTTGGGCCGTTTTTCAAATTATTGATGTTGATAAATTAAAATGTAATCAGTCAAATTTTAAGCTCTCTATTTATGCATAGTATTTATAAAAGTACATAGTTACATATTAAATGAATTTTGCATACTTCATAAACAATTTTATAGGAAAAAAGATATATTTTTTTTTAAGAAACTTACAAGGTATTTCAAAGAGAAAGACTGCTTTCAACATAAATAGAAGTAAGAAAAATATTGTAATTTAATTTTGGTTAATTCATCAAATTAATTAGGCTCCCATCTTTCTTTTTGAATTCTAATAAAAAATATCGATAACCCGTATAAAAACAATTCACCAAAGAAGTAGACTGCAATAGATAATAATAATTAGTTCAATGAATAATAAAATTGTATTATTGTGAACTAATTAGTTTATTTTTTCTTACTGAATAATGTTTTAAAACAATAAACTGCTTTAAACAATATAAATTAATGTTTTTAATTGTACTCTAAGTGTCAAGATAATGTCAACTATTAAACAATTTAATTTATCTCTTCAAAATAAATTGTTATTTAAAAGGAGGCATTGATTTAAGACATGATAGTATTTCTTCTAAACTGGTGAAACTATTCAATAAACAGGCTCTAAAGCCATTAGCCAATAATGTTACAAATACAGTTAGAATTCCTAACAGCTTTAAACTTTCAATTATCACATCTATGTTTAAAAATTGAAATAAAATCAATGTTTCACACGTTTAAGTGTTGATAACATTTTATTAACTAATTGAAAGAGTTATTAAAATAAGACTGACCAATAACTATATTATTACTATTTAGGACAAAGCTAATTATCTACTTGATCCAACACAATTTTTATTTAGTAAAGCGCTTAGCACTGAATATGCTATTATGAGTTTAACACATATAGTTATAGTTATAGTATATAGTTTTCATGCAAATACACAATACAATTTATCTCTAAAAAAAATTAATTGAAGTAATCAGTGATTAATGGAAAATAAATAAATAAAACTTTTTAAAATATTGGTTAGGTTAATAATAAGTAAATATAAATTAATGACCTATGGACTTGTATAGTGTATTGTACCTTAAGATACAGTTCTCTTCCCTTTACCAAACATAATAAATGGAATGGAATTGTTCAATAAGCAAGTAGATGATACAGCATTAATTGTGACTAGTGATACTCAGGAATGAGTAACCAAAATACCGGAAAATTTCCTAATGAAAATGATCAAATGGTTCTCAAGCAATTTTATTCATAGCAGTTCCATTAACAATAAATTATAATAAAATTGTTTTTTTAACTTATTCAAATTCAATAAGAACTTTACCAAATATTTCTTGTATGAAAAATGCCCAACATGTAGGTCCATTTTACAATGCAAATTAGCAGTCATAAGCAGAGTTCAAAAAACTAAATATTTTGGTTTTACATTCCATCAACACCAACTATATAACTTCCATTTATAAGACATAAACATGAAATTATATACATCACATACCTTTTAATATTTTATTATTTGATAAAACACTTTAAAATGTATTTACTGGGTAAGAAATACATATTATATATTGTCACAATCTATAATGGTCTGAGGAGGAATTGCACTTATCGTGTTTCTTCCACTATCTACCTATCAAGTGGTTAACTGATCTAGCGTTTTATTTGCACTATCCATTGAGTCCCATTCACTGTAAAAGTGTCCATAGCTATTAAGTAATCTCATCAATATGTTTGTAATTAATATTGATTTTGTGATTGGTTCTCCCAACTATTTAAGTTATCTACTTAGATTTTATAATTTTGAAATATGACCTGTCATACTGTCATCTGGGTTCATAACATGGCTATTGAACTATTGTTGAATCAGCATTAGACTCGATTCTAACTTTTGCTCATATCCGCTAAGCAACTATTGTTTTATATCTCCTAGCCGTGTGACAATTCATTATGTACATAGTGGCTGTTTGTCCGCTAAATCGACTATATACTTAAGAGCCTTGTTGTCCGCTTTCTTAATTATTGAATAATCGACACCATACCTCTCTTTTGCATCAACTTCAGTGTCCGTGAATAATTTTGTAAGAACAGGTTTCTTCGATTTCCCAGACACAATATTAAATATATCGTCTGCATTTCTTATCAACTTGATTTGAAATTTCCATATGCCCAATTTGATGCATATTTGAGTTTATTGATTTTATATTTTTTGTGTTCAATATTAAAAATAATGTAAATGTACACTTCCTGCACACTGAGAAACATACACACTACACTGCACTTACTTTGCTAATTATTATTGCTGTACACTGTCTGTACACAAACACGCAATTCATTAAACAATAATTATTCTATTCACAATGTACAAATTTATCAAGGTTGAGCATTAACGACTTAAATAAGTTAAAGTTAGTTTAAAGTAACTTTACTTTTAATCAATAAATTACTTTTATTTTAGAAGTAGCTTCTAACTTAACAGTTACATTTTTTCTCGTGTTATTCAGCAACTTAGGAGTTAATTAATTTTATTTTCATGTTAAGGTAATTTTATAAAAAAAAAAAACTGAAATATTAAATTTATTAATTAATAAATAATAATGATTATTGGAAAACGGTGACAGTGGCGGCCAAAATTCTTGAAGAATTGTAAAGCCAAAGCAGAGAGAGAGAGAGAGTTAATAATTTATAAAAATAGTTATTATATTGCATATTCACAGAAAATATTATATAACTATACTATAGACAGAAATGTTATAGGGGTAACCGCGTTCTTAATAAAAGAAAAAAATATATAACAATTTACCCAATATCCCATGCACATTGCTAATGTTTGTAGACTCATTAGTCATTACCTACCTAATTATTATTAATATTATTACTTATTATTATATTTATATTTATTCATAGAAATACAGCAATAACTTGGCCCGTCGATGTGAATAATTTAAACCCCGTAGTACCATGGTAGTTCATCGTGTTTACTAGAATGCATAGAGATGGACTGAAAGTTAAAAGTATTGTGTATTGAAATGTTTGGTAAATTATCATGATTTTATTATGATAATTACAGTAGGAAATATCAAAAAGCTTAGTTTTTGGTTGCATTATTTTGCTTTTGATATTCATATGATACACCAATTATCAAATACACCTCACTAGGTACTGTCTACTAAAATGGTAAAATACAATAATGGTTTGATGAAATATTGTATTCTTACTATTAATTGAATAATATTTGATATTATACATTGGGTAACCAATTAATTATATTCTAATAAATAATAATGATTAATGAATTTGACGATCATAATATTTAGTATAGTTGTAGACCATTTACATAAACAAATACATACAAATAATTTAATTATTTTATTGGATTTCATCAATGATTAAAATATAATATAAATATATAAGTACCTACAGTAGCTAATTTTATTACAAACATATATTTAAAAACTGTAAGACATTTATTGAATTAGTATGTTATTTGTTAGCTTTAAAAAGAGTAACTTATTTATAACTATGTTAAGTTGATTTAATTTTCTAATTAACTTGGAACTTTTACAAGTTAAAACAAATAAAAAAACTTTTAACTTTAAACATAACTTAAATTTGTCTGTATTAACTTAACTTAAGAGGACGCTATACCTGCATGTGTTGTCTCCGTCTTACAAGAGGGTAACATATCAAATTTTACGTTCAGCAGATCATGTTTGGCTCAGTTAGCTTAAAAATCAGAGTGAATTGACCTCTTATTAAAATTAAAGATAAGATTATTATGGAGGGCTTCTCGTAGACTTTTTATTATGTTTTAATTTTAAAGTGTGGTGATTTATTATTATTATTATTATTATTATTACTGTTATATAATATTGTATGTGTAGCTGGTCGCACTCTGTGCCATCCGGCCAATAAGCCGATTATTATATTTTTGTCTACGTCGTCGGTATGCTTCGACCTGTTGATTCTGGCCGACCGCTACAACAACGCAGACCGGTATATTTTGTATTATTATAAATTTTTCAGTTGATCGACACCGCTCGCCTAGTTTCGGCGTGTGTCAGTGAATAAATATGTTTTTGCATTAAATCATTTTATTTCATTTTATTTTTCCTTAAAATTAACCACTCTTGCCTTCAAAAGGGAGTTATGAGTATTTTAAGTTGTACAGACAATTTACAATTTTTAAATACTCATAACTCTCTTTAGAATTAAAATATAATAAAAAGCACACTAGAAGCCCTCCGTAATAATCTTGCCTGTTTTGTTTTTAATTCCAATACTTATTTATACTCATAGTACTAACTTTATGCATAAGTATACAACAATTATTGCAAAAAAAGTATTCTGTACATTTCATGAACTAAAGAGCTATCTATACTTCTCAAAGTAAATTCTCAAATAGTACCTATACAGCAAAAAAATTATCTCAAAACCTTAACAGAAAAGATCTATAAGTTGTTTATGAAACTGAAAGTCCAATGTTGAAATGTGTAGTGGCTCTATTTTTCTTCTAATATTACATGATAAATTTTAGTATCAAGAATAAAACTAATTTATAAAAAATAATAAAATTCATTAAAACACAATTGGAATATTAATTTCTTCATAATATATTAACATTGAGAATTTGGATACTTAAGGTTACACTTTTTTTGTTCCATCAGATGCTTAACCCAGTTTCTAATGGGAATTCCACCAGAATAAGTCATAAAATCAGATACCTTTCCCAGCATCCAATGCTTCTAGAACATTATAACTAAAAAATTACAGTATCACATTTAAACAGAAATTTGGTCCTCTTAGTTTTTCTTTTGTTTTTTCCCGTTAAGGTACTTTCTTACTGCGGTTTCTGGATGTGGCATCTAGCATCAACTACCAGTCAAAACACTGTACTTTTCAACTGTTTGATGCTGAAGAGAAAACATACTTAAACATACTCAATCGTAGGAAAATAATGTAGTCATAAAGATAATAATTAATAACAAATTAAATGAAAATCTTTTATAATAATCACCCAATTGCTATAAATGCTTATGAATAACTTACTAACAAATACCTTGTTCATATTTAACTTATAAATAAGGAATTAAAAAATATATAACTATTCGAATATATTATATACCTCAATAACTAGTTATAAAACTATTTTTGTTTTAAAATTTAGTTTTTTTACATTATTAACTGGAGACTATACTAATATTTATGTAGTTTACAATGTATGTTAATTTTCTTATATATTAAATTATAACCACGTTGTATGTTTATTGAAATGAAACTTCTATTCGCAGGTACCTAAAAAAAAAAACCATAGCATGCTACTCAATATTTTTTTTTTAAGAGGAAAATCCACGAATCATTTTGAATATATATTTGTTAATAAGTAACCATAACAACACAAACCCAGTTTTGTAAAAGATAGTTTTTGAAAGTATTCAAGTTTAGATATAGATACTTATTTTGAAAAGTATTTAAAATACATATTTGAATACTCAGTAAAAAAAGTATTTGAGTACAAATACATATACTTTAAATAAGTATTTGTAGATGCATTCAAACTCCTACTTTCAGTTTTTTTATAAGTTCCTTTTTTTCTTTATAAATCAACTGAACCTGGTTTTCTGTCTTTTGTTATTTTAGAAGAGTATTTTACACCATATATCATTTGGTGAAACTATCAAAATATACACATTTAATATTTTTGTCAGAGTATTAGAATTTTGGGTTTAGTATAATTCACACTAAAAAATAAAATAAAAGCGGGTAAGTGAATGTCGCTTTTCTGTACATTAGGTGTGTAAGAGGTCACTGTAATGTATGGTATTACATTTGAATTCAATGATTTTAAATCGTTGTATAGGAAAAACGATTCTGAGCGGAGGTGGTAAATTTTAATATTTTTCAACAATATATCAAGAGTCCTGTATTGAATTTTCATGCTTTTTGGCTCGATCAATACAATTCATGGAAAAAAAAATTAAAATTGAAAATTTCCGTCAAAAGCTTAAAACGAGTCAAAATGGTATAAATATCAAGTGTCTACAGTACTTCGTTATTAAATTACAACAAAATAAGAAAATTGATGAATATCCAATGTTGTAAAAATCAACTTCAAACCCCCATAAAAATGTAGTATGACTTTCCTGTAGACATATTTGTTTAGACAAAGCTAGACAAGCTTATAAGAAATCTCGTATTAAAATTTTAAATCTTAGATATAAAAAGAAAATTTTGATGAATTTCTTACACAAAACAATTTCTTATTTTTGTGATTTTTTCAAATTTTATCAAAATTCTAAGATCAAACAGTTATTTATAAAAAATTATTGTGGATTTACTCTCAACTTTTTTTTTAATTCGCTCTAACAAGAACTTACGAGAAACCTTGTATTACATTTACAAGTTATTTTAACAAGTGTACAATTTTTTATCGACATAAGTTTAAAAAAAACAAATAATAATCGAAAATTTCATATGCGTTTAAATAGTTTAACACAAGTCAAAATATTTTGAAAATTTTATGACGTACAGGAAATGCTAACAAAAATATTCATTGAAAATGTTATGTATCTATGGTAATTTTTTTTAGAGTTACACTAAAAACCAAAATCCAAAAAGAGTTAGTACAAATCAGTATTTGAAAATTAGTATTTGATTTTGAATACAGAATATGTACTTTGGGAAAGTATTTTAAATACTTTGTTCAAGTACTTTTTAAAAAGTTATTAAAATTACATACTTGTGTACTACAAAAATATTTGAATACTTTTACTCAAGTACATTACAAGACTGTAAATATCTCATGAAAAATTCGTCATAAACATTTAATCAAGTACCTATTCAATAATATATTTATGTTAAAATAATTTAACGGTCGGTGTTACATTCCAAAGTAACGTTCGGTATACTTTGTATATTATGTATGAATATGAATGGCTTGGTAACCTATTTTGCATGATTATATTGTTGACAATAATAGTACAGCAGTTGTGTACACATTTTCCCGATAAAAATAATAATAATATTATAATGATTTCTAAACACTGAAATTTTTATTTTATTTTTTTTTGAAAAAACTGCTTAATAAGTTTCACTTCCCATGAAAAGTTAATACATTAAACGGTCTTCTTGTAAAACATCTACCATCTTTACGTCTGTAATCAGTGATAGGGAAAAAAGTCTCAGAATTATCATCTAAAAACCTAAAAAACAAAATTTATTTTTGATAATTATTAGCATTATTATCAACAGTATTTGTTTGAATGTAAAATCTAAAAAAAATAACTTACTCCATAAATTGTTTAATATGACGAATAAAGGTATTTGAATCATATCCAGGATGCCACGAATTTGATAACAAAATTTTTGGTAAATTAGCTGAAAAATAAATGTTAAAAGTTCTTACAATAAAATGTATTGTAAAATATTTTTATTAATTTTATTCAAATTTAATAAGAACAAATTTTGAATAGCAAATGATCAAATAAATTCCTAAATATTTTTATTGTTAAGATGTTGGTGCCAGTTTTTTCAATTTTCTGCAATTCTATGCAATTTGAAAATTATATTTTATATTTTAGTTGTTTTTTAAATTATAAAACTTTCACTAACATACTGCCTAACATCAATTTAGGGGGATTGGTTGATACTGTGTATTATATCAACAAAAATTACTTTGTATAAAAGACGGCTTACTTAGAACATTAATGTAAATAAAAACATATTTTCCATTAAACTATACAATCAAATTTTATAGACACATTATACTAACTTATGTATTTCCTTAAGATTAAGTATTAAATAATGTATATGTGTTTAATACATACCAATTAATCTTACTAGATACGTGGGACCATATACATAACACCAAATCATATTGGAATCTAGAAGACTTTTAAAGAAATATTTGATGTTTGGCCGATTCATCTTCCTTTGCTGAAAATATTCCATGCTCTATAACAGACAATATTATATTATAATACATCTTTAATTATAAAATTGTTTATTTGCTTATTGTATCAACTTAAATAATGTCATAATTAAGAACAAAAATCTTGTTTTTAATATTGCAGTAAGGTTAATTATATTCTAATACAATAAAACTGGTATAACAAATATATATTTATCGCTTATAGCAAAACAATTGAGTTGGGAATTTGTAATTGATTGTCAGAAAATTGGTACAGTCGTTAAAAACCAAGGTTTCTTAAACTATAAAAAAAAACAATTATAATGCATCTACACATTAGATAAATACTGCGTGAAATCGAAGGGAATTATTAATCAGCAATCCAAAAACAAAAAATATGCTTCACTTCAATACAAACTTCATGAAATAATTACCAGTTACGTAAATAGAGAAATTTGCAATGTACATTTTTTTTTAATACGATAGGGAAGTTATTGTTAATTTATATTTAATTGTGAACTATTGTCAGTTTATATTTTATTTTGAACAATTGTGAATTATTGTGAACTATTTTTATTGTAACTACGTGTTAATTTTTGAAACTTAGGAGGTATATCATAATTATTGACTATTATGAATACATTGGTGGTATAAATAGGCAATACATGTATGGTGTGTAGTTAAATAAAATAATATAGGTAATATGTTAGTTTCAAGTCCACATACAAAATTTTTTCTATTACCTATACGAAAGTAACTAAAATCGTTTTTCCTTATTCAACTTTGAATAATAATTGCTAGTCTTGCCAGCACAAATTGAACATTTTATAAATTTTTAAATTTTTACGTGAATTTGACAAATTAATTAAAATTTAAACTTTAAATAAATTATTAATATAGGTAGTGATAATTTATTTTTGATATTTTGTGTATGAGGCAAGAACACCTTTTGAGTAACTTTATACTAAATTTTCAAGTTATTACCCAAAAATATATAACTGTATCACACTTAAATCGCAAACAAACTGACAATAGTCACACATTTAAAATATCTATAAAAAGCACAAAAGACCGAAATTATTATTTTTTTTAATTATACTGAGACGTCTAGTAAATTCTAATATTATCTATCTTTTACTACACGTACACCAACACAAAAACCAAACAACATTGTATAATCAATACATTTTTCAATTCTTTAAGTACATTTTTTTTCTTAGAGTTTTAATTATCATTTTACATGATATTTATCATTACCTTTAATGGTAAATTGTCACTTTTCTCTTTTTCGTTAAGTAGATATGTGTGCACTGACTCATTAAAATACTTCAATATTGTAGCAGAAAACATCGTTGGATTTTTTCTAAAATAAATATAGTATAAGATGTATGTTAATAATACATTTCAATAGTGGTATTAAATAATTACTTTTGGTTATCATCTTCTTCAAAATATGAAGATTTTGTGAACTCAAATATTACTTTTGCCACAAAGAGTTCATCCGGAAACGTTAATACCTGAAACCAACAATTTAATATTGTAATGTTATAATCAAGGCTGGGCAAGTTAATGATATTTTTTAACTCAGTTAAGTTAAGTAAAATTAAAATCTAAATCAAGTTAATAGTTAAAAGTTAATTCAAAATTGTCTATCAATTGAACTAATTAATGACTTAACCCACATTTAATATTAACTTTTTAACTAACGTTAAATTAGTTTATAAAAAGTTTCTTGTTTTCATATTGGTATAATAAAAATAATCGGTACATAAAATTGTTCATGTAATTAGACCAAAGAATTATTATTATTTTGTGTGTTTCAAAAGGTTGAATTGAAAGGGTGTTTCAAATTTTTTTAGCATACTTGTTACACATAAAATGTGTACCAGAAATTTGTATTCCTACAATAGTTCACATAATTTTTAAAAAAATGTATACTTTTAATAAATAAAAAAAATTCATATGTATACACATTTGAAATGTTATTTAGTGTTTTTCTGCAAATATTCCTGAGTATTAATTGTTCATTATTTTTCATTTTATAATAATAAAATTGCATTATAAACTTTACTTTAAATTATACATTTAAATTGTATAAATAAAATAAAATATATTTTATATAGCTTAAAGTCTAAAACTCCTTTGTAAGCACAATATAGGTAGGTAATTAAATAGAAAATAAAAATAAAAATTATAAGAATCAAATAACGGCGAAGATACCGAAAAATAATGGGCATTGATAATATTCGTAATTTCATAATATAGGTAAGTATTTAAAGTTTATACGAATTTGAAAACATATTACATAATAATTAAAATTGAAATCAACTTAACTTTTTTATACATAAAATTAACTCAAATTAATGGAAGTTAATTCAAAAGCTCCTAAAGTTAATAATTAAGTTAATAATCATAAAAAATTAACGTATTAATGCTTTAATGCCCAGGCTTGGTTATAATCAAGGCTATGAATTTAATGCATTTAAAAACTATTAAATGTGCTATAAAAACTGACAAAATATGCTCTAATTTTTCAATAATATGCAAAAAGACCACAAAAATTTAACTTTTATTTTATTTTTTTCATAATATTCTTTTATTAATTTAAGTTAAATATTAGTATTGTTACTTATTGACATTAATATATGACTTATTGGGCTTAATAAGTCCTGATCTTCGCCGTATACAAGATATACAAAAGAAATATGCTTAGAATAGATATGTTTCTATTTAAAATAATCTATTTTAAATTTAAAGTTGTTATTGCATTGTACAATCAATGATTTCATTAGATTTTTAAACTTGAAAGACCATATTTGTATACAACCATTATTAAACAGAATAGTTTCCATGAAATTATACAAGTCATAGTTAATGCAAATACATTTAATACTTTAATGTCAGTTTATAACAGACTGGCTGAAAAAATAATGAAAAAAAACATTTATTTTATACAAAAAAATCATTAAAACATGCGTCTATATGCAATAACCCACGAAATATGCAAAAGTATGCAAAATAAGATTTGGTATTCGAACTATAAATGAGTCAAAACATATTTTGGACGAATCCATTTTATTTTACAATTTAGCAAAAAAAACAAGCAAATGCATTAAATTCACAGCCCTGGTTATAATCAAGACTTATAAAAACGAAATCTGTCTTACCATTTCGTAAGCCTTTTGCATATCACGATCGTAATCTAGCGTTATTTGTAGACCAATTGGTAGTCTTAATGATCGCAATTTTTTTATAAGAACCTAAAATAAAAATGTATTTAAAATAAATTCCTAACTCCAGTTCTTAACTTTATTTTTTACACTATTGTGATGGGTACCTTTGAACATGGAATTAATATAAATGGGATTGCTTTGTCTTTTGCGACTGAGATTGCCTTGTCTTTTACGATTGGGATTAATTTATCTTTTACGACTTTGATTGCTTTGTCTTTTACGACTGAAATTGCTTTGTCTTTTAAGACTAGGGTTGCTTTTTCTTTTACGACTGGGATAGCTTTGTCTTTTACGACTGAAATTGCTTTGTCTTTTAAGACTAGGATTGCTTTTTCTTTTACGACTGGGATCGCTTTGTCTTTTACGACTGAAATTGCTTTGTCTTTTACGACTGAAATTGCTTTGTCTTTTAAGACTAGGGTTGCTTTTTCTTTTATGACTGGGATCGCTTTGTCTTTTACGACTGAAATTGCTTTTTCTTTTACGACTGGGATTGCTTTGTCTTTTACGACTAGGATTGCTTTGTCTTTTACGATCGGGATTGTTTCGCCTTTTACGACTTTGATTGCTTTGTCTTTTACGAATTTGATTGCTTTTTCTTTTACGACTGGGATTGATTTGTCTTTTACAACTGAAATTGCTTTGCCTTTTACGACTGGAGTTGCTTCGCCTTTTACAACTTTGATTGCTTTGTCTTCTACAACTGGAATTGCAGATTGTAGAACAACTGGTTCTGCACTTTGTTTTATTTTTTTCGGCCTGCCTAGTTTTAAAAAAACATTACGATGACAAATATTGAAATATGAAATATCAAATATCAAATAAATATTGAACTAAAATACATACCTCTTTTTCTTAATACTGGTTTTGGTAAATCATCTTTTGCTGTTCTTGGTTTTTGAGATTTTTTTACCGTTTTTAATCTTTTACAATTTTTCCTACATTACATAAAATATACAAAAAGTAGGTATTATCGTTAAATTAACGGCGATAACTGATAAGTGATGAATAGTAATAATTAATCAATAACTTACCGACTTTCTTCTCGCCTTTCCTTGTGAGCTAAATTTATGGAATTTACCTCTAACACTTCAGCCTCATCTGTCCATTCGTCCCATTTTGATTTGAAACCAACATAATGTACATAGTATTGGATCACCCCCGCTTCAGTCACTTGTCGTTTCAAACACTTTGCTAGGTAGAGCAATCCATCAGAGTATGCTAGTACTTTGTCACCTAATAAAGAATAAAACATTACAATTCAGAAAAAAAAACAGGTGAGTGGATGACGCTCTACTGAACATTAGGTGCCTAAAGATTAATTGTCTACTGTAATGTTGTGTTCAATTTGAATTCAATGATCCTTGTACATGAAAGACGAATATGAGCGAAGACGGTTTGTCAGCTTCCATAATAACTAAGCAAATTTTATGATATTATTGTGACTAAAGTAATTTATTTAACGATTAGGAATTAGTGTAACAGCAGGTTAAATCCATTTTTGTCAATAAAATTGCAGTTAAAAATGTCATAGTGTGTACCTAAATACAGTATACAATATAGATAATATAATAATGTACACTAAATGTCTCAAGTACATACGAATAATATTTTAAAATTACAATAAAATAACTTAAATCGTTGTTCTTAGTTTTAATACATAATTTTGTCCAAATTTAAGCAACGGGAAAAACAAACAAAAAGTTAAATAAAAACGGGAATTTTTACTCAAAACCAATTTTCGAAAAAATCGACTTCGGTTGTTAGTGTAGCTCTAGTAGATACATGAAGTTTTTGGAACATCCTTTTTTTTGTTTGTTTTTCCTACCGCTTTCGAAAACTGTTAAGAATTTTTTAACTTTTAACCCCTCAAAGTACCAAAAGTTATCCTGTTATCAAACAGTAGATAAGTTGTTAGATTTAATGTTGGCAATTTATTAATATACCTAGGTATTTATATTGTTAAGTTTTTGGAGCATGGAATTGTTTTGTTACGTAAAGCAAATAAATATACTAGCCAAGCATTTGAACGCTGAATGAACTGCGTATAATATATACTAAGCCAGGCCATGAACTTAATCTTATAGTTCTTGAAAAAAATTTAACACTCACCCACAGCGAATTCGTATTTTGTTTCCATTGTGTAACATATATTTCGTCGTATCAAGGATGCAAAAAGTGTGACGATCAGATAATTCTTAGAGTATTTGATTATATAAACAACAACAGACGAGAAAATGCTAAGGGCAAAATACAAGTAAAAAACGTGAAAAGAATTATTACCGTATCAATCAAATAGAGCCTGATAACGCGATCGATGATATCTAATAAATGTTAATGGCATAAGCGTGCAGTTGGCAACTAGTGGTTGTCGTTACGATTTGCATTTACAGAATGGCTGTCGCAAACCATAGATTCACAATATTCTAGATTCTAATCACTGGAAAATCTCAGTAACATCCATAGGCAAAGAAAATAACATTCGAAGGAGATGTAGAGAAAATAAGCATTTCCTATCAGATAAGCTGTTACTCGTTAGGAGTCTATTGCAGTGAGTACCACTGTTGCAGTACAAATTATGTGTAGATATATCTACAACCGTGGTGAATGCTGTTGAGTGAGTGTTGTAATTTGTCCGCCCCCACAATACTTTCTCTCGTCGGTTTCCTGTGGTGGTTGGCGACACCGACCCACGCTCGACATGCAATGGCGTCTACTTTTAAAGATTACTCAGTGCCCAGTGGACCAAGGAGGCAAAGACGTGGATCTAAGAATCAACCTTACTACTAAAGCGGTGCTACGCAGTGCGTCCAATAAACGTCATCAAACGTTAGCCACACGATAGTTTGCCACATCGAATAGCCGTGATGTCGAGTGATAAAATATGTTAATGCCGAACGTTGGTGTTGACACGATTCCCGCCAAAAATTGGCATTTTTTACCGGCATCATAGGAGTATCGATGTAACTTGCAACCAGTATTTGGTAAACGGCTAAACTATGTGGCAAGTGTAGCCCTGTGTCAAGTCTTGAATTGGAGTAGTGACCGTGTGAAGTATTATGTAGTTTTGTAGTTTTGTATTTTTAGTATTTACTAGATGGTCATGAAGTTAGCCACCCACCTTCATAAAAATTATCCAAAATTGTGCAAGTATTTAGCAAGTTAATTGTTAATAATGGCCAATTGATTTATAGAATAATTTGAAAATCAAGTAAAAATTCAAGTTGCAAATTCATAAATTTATAATTAGGTCGGGGAAGGGGCTAACGGTTAGTCTGCACTTCATGCAGCCCCCTCTCCTCACTTCATCCTATCCGTTTCGAACCAACATTAATTAATTTAATTTTCAGAATTTACAAATCAAAATTGTAATTTTGGCGATTTTTCGCCACATTTTATTAGCCCCCTACATAGTATGGCCAATTCGAAAAATATTATAATATTTCGTAAAATTGTAAATAACTGCGAATTGGTTTTCAGAATTTACAAATCTATATTAATAATGTTATAGTAATGTAATAGATTTTTTGCCTGCCCCC